GGGTTGGATGTAACATGGAAGGAAAAGTATCAAGGTACTAAGGGAGAGGGTCATTTTTTAATTACAATCAAGAAAACAGATCTGTTTATGACTTTTTGAGGAACTTTAAAATTCCAAGGCTAAATCCACAACGTTTGGAGGGTTAAATAAATATCTATATCTATCTATTTGTCTATCTATCTGTTTGTAAAAGCGTAATTACTCTGCGTAATATGATAACTAAACTCTGCGATTTCATTCATCAAAATATCTATCAAATATCAAAATAACTAAAAAATTTTCTGCAATTTCATTTAGCAAAATATTCGATTATTCGATTTTTGGAAGCAGGCAAGATGAAAAATTAGCAACGCCTTCGCCGCGAATCGAACCTCGAACCTCTGGAATACGCGCCCAGCGTGCGGACCACCACACCACGAAGGCATGCAAGAAGGTGGGAGAAATACCTTATAACACTGTTTTCATTTTATTTATTTTGCAAGAATTTTTTTAATCCATTTTTAATTATATTTTTAAAAAATTCCGCCGACTCCATTTATAATTTGTGATAACGTTTTATTGCTTATTCGCTTACTTGATTTTTTTGTCAGTTTAGTTTTAATTTTAACTTAATAAATACTTACCATATATATGTATATGTGTGTATATATGTATATTTATATATATGTAACCTATATAAATGCAATTATAAATTAGTTTAGTACTTAAAAGATCCAAGAGAATATTTAATATAAAAGCACATATGAAAAAAAATTACTTCTTCTTTTGTAAAAACAAATAAATAAAAACTTAAGTTTGCAATAATAACTTAAGTTAGCATTTTAGGAAGTATCCAGAGTAATATTGAAAAATATAACCCAGTCACCATAGGTTAACATAATAAACTTTACATATATCATAAACTTTCGAACATTGAACAGTTTATATAAAAGTGGGTTTATAGTTAATAACTGTTAACATTTAAAAATTGAATTTCTATTTACGCACCTGTTGAATATCTAAACTTAAATTCTTTAAGTCGGATGAAATAGTTTAAATAGTAGTAGTAGTAGTAGGGAAAATGGCAGCTTAGTCAACAGAAAAGAAACACAGTGGATAAGATATGAAACAAACCGTCTCGTATTGCAACATCATACACTTACTTATACATAGGTGCAAAACTTGACAGATGGTATTTTATATTACTTCCAATAAAGATAATTGAAAGCTACATGAATGATATAGTAAAAAAAGAGCAAAAATATGTAGTTCCGGGTAACAATTATTTGTAAGGATTGATTTTGTAGGTTTTAATAAATCCTGGAAGATTTTGAGGATTTAATGTTTTATAAGTATGATAACATACATAGCCGTTGAATTTGCTATCCTATGAGGGAAGCGCAGAACAAACTTGTTCTTTATTTGCGTAAAATAAAGAACATGCTGCAATAAGCAAATAATTAGCATTTCATGACATCCACACATTACAGGCAAAGTAATAAATAGCCACCTAATGGTGAGATTGAAATGCGGATTTTTCATTTGGATGCTATGTTTACCTGTTGCTTACGACACACATGGATGCACAAGGGTACGACTGTTTCGTTTGTGACTTTTGTGATCCTGCGTTTACTTACAGCATCATGATGTCCGGATCCGCGTATAGAGGCATCACGGGGAAAGAACCTTGAAAGTTTGTATTCTTTATCGTCATATAGGCACAGCACCGAGATTGACTGCATAGGGTGTCATTGGGCATGCATCCGATTCACATCTAGTGAGCGCATCAGGTATTTTGACCAGCCACTGTTACATAACTCAAGTTCTTAATGTTCGTGGCTGAGCCACATTTTCTTGGCCTTCGTCTTTTCACTATAGAAGTGAGAGAGCATTTGGCCACGCTGTCCTATGTTTCCTCAATACGCAGGATGTCTTTGGGCGGCACGTTCTCCAGATCCATCAACTAATGAAAATGCCTGGTCAGTTGCAGAGAGACTGACACAGGAACACTTACAGCCAATGCGACAAATGAATTTTGGCATAGAGTTAACTGCCCGTAACTGCCTGTTACAGGCATGAACTGAGACATCCGTAACCGTCATCTGGAGAGTCTGTTCAACTCAATGTCTAGTCAAAGGCTGATTCTCGGGGAACTGATTGCTATATATTCTGTACTTCAAAATAACCTGCAATTTTAATCATTGCATTCATCCAGTACAATGAATTCTTAAAGTAAGTACATCCACATTTTACGAAGTGTTTGCCTTAGCGGTACAGCAGATTAAGGGCCAGTAATGCATATTATTCTTATGTAAATTGCTTTGATTAATATTTTGATGAACACTCAAAGGGTCCACAAAATAACTTTTCATAGTGAACAAACTACGGAAGGTTTGCTATCATAATTGATTACGGTAGAGCCTACAAGGGCATTTTGCCTACGGATATGGATGCTTTCAAGAAGGACATTCTAAGGCAAACTGACGTGTATTCGCGCTATACTTCGAGAAAATCACAAAAATATCCATGCACGTTCCTCAAGGGTCGAACCCCGGTCACACAACCGACATTCAGCCACCCACGAGACCATTGGTGAGTCTCAGGCTGTGGAAGGAAACTTAACATTTGCAGTATTAGTTCCTGTATTTCTATGCTTACATACATGTATTGCTATGCTTATATACATGTAATTGCTACGCTTATATACATGGATATAGAACCCTCGTAATGGTTTCTTGAATAATCATGGTTGGCGTCAAAAGCATCTGTTGCCCCCTGAAACTTGAGCACCGGTGATGACATAATGACTTTTTTCAGCGCCATCTCAGTTTTGGTTGAAAAGAAGGAAGGAATTCACAGGTCTTGAATCCTTTCTTCACGACTAGTAAGTTCTTGAAGGAAGATTTGACTAGATGAGTTTTAAATACCCCATGCCAAACATAATCACGATGCCCCATACCACAATTCATTTCAAAACATCCACATTTTCTTCAGGTATACGGGTATTCAGACTCGTGCCCTTCGATATGGCAGTCAGCTTTGCTAACCACCATATCATTCGAGACGGAGAGCAGGGACAAGGGAGAGGCAAACGACACCTCAGGTGAAAGGCTAGGAGGGGAGCGAAATTAGCTACGAAAATTTACATATACATTTAAAAAATAAGTTATAATAGTTAACGTTCAGTTTCCAAACGTATCGAGAAGCATCGTTATAAAATGTAACTCTTAAATTTACCGCAATAAAAAGGACACTACGACATTCAGCCACCCACGAGACCATTGGTGAGTCTCAGGCTGTGGAAGGATGCACTTTAGCACTTGAACACTCGCGTGCTTTGCACACTTGTATTTTTTTAAGGTAGAAAAAGTAAAATAGAAGGAGGTACTAGGACTTCAGAGTACCTCCTTCTCCACCATCGTCCGCAGGCGCATAGATAAAAATGCGCACCCGCAAGCTCTGCATTTGCACTGTTCGAAACCGCATGGGAATACAATTTACGCCAGCAGAGCATTTTTATCTACCCCTCAACAGTGCCCTGAACCATCTCAATGAGTCATTTGTAATTTAGGTATTCTAAAAGGCCTTAGCATTCGTAACTTATGCATCCAAAATGATATTAAATGCTCAAAAAAATTTTTATCAAATGTGCATTCTTAAGCTATTCAATAATTATGTGCACTAAAACAAAATTAGATCTTTTCTGATAATCCAGAAACATACTTTAGTTCACTCGTAACTGAATTTGGAAATTGAGTTGAAAGTATTTTTACGTTTGCCAGTTCTACACTTCGGGTGAAAGAAGGTTTAGCAAACTAAAAATAATTCAAAATTATGCAAAATCTTCCCTTACTCAAAAAATAATAATAATAATAATTTCCGAAGAATATGGCTGCCTCTTCTACAGAACAACACAACTTAAACTTGATTTTGTTTTATTACATGCAAGAAAAAATAAATGATAAAAAAGGTGAAAGTTAAAGTAGTACTTTTTTAATTAATAATAATAATATCTCTGGTTAATTCCACGAATTTTGCTTTTTTTTCAAAAAAGGACATTTTAATGTTTGCATTTAAGCATTATAAATTATTGCATGCTTTATTTTTTTGAGTGTATAAAGTTACGACTAAAAATATCCATTATAGGAAGATTTGGTTATGATTTAATATAGTTGCCTTTATTGAATATAAAAGTACATTAGTTAATTTGATTATATGTGGGGGCGCACATTTATTTCTTTGTCTCAGGAGAAAAAATACCTAGGTACGGCTCTAGAAGACGGTATGTAGTTACATGTAACTGTCTTATACGACAGTGGGCATTCTACATTTACGCTGGCATTCTCACTTATAAGATCAATTTTATTTTACTACTAGTGTTCAGATACCTGTCATGTTAATTATAGGAAAAACCGTACAATGACAGAAAAACAAAAGGGAAATATGATTTAAAATCCTTAGAGACGAATTTTCTCCTTTCTTTTCGGGCTCCTTCGTAGTGTAATTGGAAACACATTGGGCTAGCATGGGGAGGACCGCACTGAAATCCTGGCGAGAGCTTGCTGAATTCCTCACTTTTCGTGGCTCCGAAAAATTCTAAAAATGACTCTATAAGTGGCGCCAAAATTGAAATGCGGTAAAGGATAATTCGTCGCCATCTGGCTTTGGTACCTGGGTGGAAAGAATGTAAGAAATTTTCTCTTTCCTTATCCTATGCCTTCGAGATGTAATTGGAAATACGTCCAGCTATCATCCTAAGCTTTGAAGTTCGAATCCCTGTGAGGGCAACGCGGATTTTTCATGCTTCCTGCTCCAAAACAAAACTGACGATTTTACAAATGTACTGGGAATCTTAACCGCTCTAAAGTCAGTGCAGTTAATTTATCTTTAAAACAGATTTTCATAGCATAATTATGTCAGTGGGAATATCAGACAGTTGAAAACTTAGCTTATGTATTACAGAAGGAATATATGCTTCAGATCTGTAATTTTATAAGGTATTTTCTCCCTCCTCTCTGGCTGCCTTCGTGGTGTAATTGGAAGCATACTCGACGTTCATTCGAGAGGTCTAGGGTTCGAATCTCGGCGAAGGCACTGCACATTTTTCACGTCTGCTTCAAAAAAAAAACCTAATCAGTCTACAAGTGGCGCCCGAACTATAAAAGGTGATGGACGATCCTTCATCACAACCAGGATTTGACGACTGGTTACTCTAATCCCCAGTCGCCCTTTAAAAGGAGAAATATATAAGCTATTTTTCCCTCCTTTCAGAATGCTTTCGTGTTGTATTTAGAAGCATATTCGACGCGTATTCGAGAGGTGCAGCGTTCGAGTCCCGGGAAAGGTACTGCCCATTTCTCACGTCTCCTGCTTCAAAAAGAATCAAATTACTCTACAACTTAAGACTTCTAAAGTTTATAAATTATATGAAAAAAGAAATAACATTTAATAAAAGCTCAATTGCCGTTAAAAGACAAAGTGATAATAATTTTTAAAAAATGTTAATAACAATTCTTTTTCAGTGCCCTAGACTGCTCTGGCTTCCCTGTATTTCATTTTATTAATCATGTTCGTACCAGATTTCTTTAGTATCCTACTTTGTAAATCTAAATATATAACCTGATTGTTAAATAATACTCAAAATTTACTCAAATTTTATATATAAAAATTATATGGAAGTTTTTATACGGAAAGTTCTAGATAAACGCCGGATGGAAAGCTCACCATTGACGCTGTAGAGCCATTTTGATTTTTTGGAAGCATGAAAGATGAAAAATGAGCCAACGCCCTCGCTGGGAATCATACCAAGGACCTCTAGAATACGCTCCCAACGTGCAAATTACAACACTACGAAGGCACGCTAAGAAGGCGGGAGAAATACCTTATATACTCCTTCTTTTAAAGGGCGACTGGGGTTTTTAGGGAACCCACTCGCCAAATCCTGGTTGTGGAGAATCATCATCCACCACCCTCTTTGATCGGGCGCCCCTGTAAAGACATTTGGATTTTTTGGAAGCATAAAAGATGAAAAATGAGAAACGCCCTCGTCGAGAATCGAACCACGGACCTCTGGAATACGCGCCCAGCGTGCACACGACTACACTACGAAGGCATGCTAAGTAGGCGCGAGAAATACCTTATAACCCGAGCTGCTGAAAGCCGCAAAGAGTTAACACCTCATCCTAGGTACAGTTACAAGCTGCCAAACAAGCAGGTTTTGTAAGATTTTCGTGATTATCCTCATGTATTATAAAATAGGAGACAATTTCTCTTATAAAGTGCCCCATAAAGGCACCCATTTCTTTATAGAGACGGTCTTCCTGAACTCTGCCAAAATTAACTAATTTAATTTCCGACGACATTATTCTTTAAAATTACCTCCTTTTCATTTTCTGTCACCTTTTCACGAAATGATCGATAGTTATATTCTAAGTAAATTTGAGAAACAACAAATTCTAAACCGTATGAGATTTTATTTTATTTCCATTTCAATTAAAAGGCAAATAAACTCATACCTTTCATGTCATTTTACATGAATGATATTCCAGTATGTAATCTAAAATTATTACCTAGTTATAGCATTTATTAGATGCTCAGCGACTAAATACGCAGCTAGTTGTCGCTTCGTAGGTTCGATTCCTTACATCAGAAAAACCTGGGTATATGCATACCTCGTATTTTGTCCGGCCTGTAATGTTAAGACAATCCGTTTTCCTTCTGAAATTCGTCTACGAAGGCAACATTCACAGAAGGCAACTATCATCCTGAATACTGAACTAATTAGCCGATATTTATAAATAAAAATACTCTATTAATTTCGTTACAACAAATATTCTCTGGCGTGCGTGGCGTGCGTGGCGTCCATTGATTCTCTTAATTTTAGTTTTAAAATGCTTCACTATTTGGTGAATTTTTAATGAAATTCAATAAAAACGACGTTCTAGAAGGTTAGTTTATCTAAATATGGCAAAGCGCATGAGAGTTGTCTGCCTAAAGGTAGGGATACTTTGGTGGGGTATTTTCTAAGGTAAACAGGCTCATATTCACGTTAACCAGCCAAGCAGCTAGCCTGTTCGCGCGGTTTCGATCCCCGGATGAAACTGTATTCAACAATTTCAATGACTCGGCCATTGGTGAAGCTGGATTAAAAAATTCTTCATTAATATTATACACCAACAAAGAATGTATTTCTGTTTCTGAAAGCTATCATATGTCAAAGGATGAAAAAAAATCATCTTTGACATAAATGAAACAAAATATATAATCTCCTTTATTCTCTACTTTATTGCAAAAATCGGTGCTATTGGAAGGAAATATAATTGACTTACAAATGAAACGGACTGCCGAAGTGAAAGCGAAAAATGAGTTTTATTTCCTAGAATCAAATATTATTAAATACTATACACAAACATATACATCGGGAGATAAAAGCAAAAGTCAAACAAGTTGCTTAAAACTCTTTAAAATATATTATTCATTTTTATACAAACTCCAGAAAAAATATAAATCACCTAAATAAGTCATGAAAATGTGTGATGGTAATGTGTAATGTAACAAAGCTTCCAAGAAATAATGATCTAATTTTGAACTTAAATTGTTAAAAAAAAAAAGTACACATCAGAGAGTTATTAAATGCTGATTAGCTTACAACCTGCTTGTAACATATGTCAAAATAACAGGAAGGATCAAACGCTTAAAACTAGACATGTTTTCATGTCTAGTTTTAAGCTATACAAAAGTCTTAAAACTAGACATGTAATAAGTTAACACAGCGATATTCGTTGAAGCATCAAAAATGCTTAAAATTATGAAGGAAAAATAAGTATTCATGCACATAAAACGTTAAAATTTCCTTGTATGCAGATTTTTTTGTGGAGGGGGGCTACCATAGCAACAATTAGATACTTAATGAACCATTTACTTCTGCTTATTTTACAATTTCCTTACGTGCATTTTTATCTTTTATAATGAAAATGAACAGTAGAACAAGACAAATGCTAGTTGATATCAGAGCTCATTATAAAACTGTTCAGAAATGGAAAATCTCTGCGTGACATAAGAAGTATAGTAAATAAATTCGTCTCATTGTGCAGTATATTGTTAATAAGTTTTAAAAGACTTGAACTTTAGAAAATAAGCACCATTTTCGAAGACCGTCGGTGCTAAGCGTGAAAGACAAATAATTCATTTTGAAGAAAGTTAAAGTAAATTCTTTTACAAGCTTTTCTTCGATTGCGTCAGAACTTCGCGAAACTATCAGAAAAGTGTTTTCCAAAAGAATCAGAAATTTAATTTAAAAAAAAAATGTCTGAAAATCGTGATCGAGTAGTTAGACGAAAACTATTCATAAATAAAGCTAATACACAGAAGAGATGAAAATTAGCAAAAGAATTTATTAACTATTCTGAAGAATTTTGGCATCAAGTAACTTTTTTCCAGTTTAAAGTAAATTTAATGGTCGGTGATCAGATATTCTCAAATTAAGTGTCGAGGAAACCGGGTGAAATCAACGAAGAAGGAAAATATATAAACAATGGTGAAAATGTAATAGTGGGAAAGTATTGGCATGGGAATGTATTGCTGCAAACGTTGTGGAAAACTTGCAGATAATTGTTGGTATTTTTAATAAATATGGTTATCTGAACATTTTAAAAACCAACTGGATTTTTCGGAAATTTTTATTTTCAAGCAAAAATTTGTTTTTTGTTAAAAAAAATACTTTAACATTTTTATTTGTTTTTTTTAAGAAAAAAAATTAAATTTAAAACTCGAACTATGATGCAGTGATTTTGAATAAAACATTTTTCGTTTTTTTAATACTAGCGTAATATTATGTGTATACATAAATTTTCTATTAATGTTTTTCACTATATGAAAAAGGTAGCTTTAAGTTTTATTATATGTCTATCTTAAAAGCATGCTGAAATATTTTCAGTGATAATTTTATTCATATAAATATGAATCATGCAATTTTAAATTGTTTTCAAACTGTGTAGATCTTTTCCTTATTCTTTCCCACCCCTCACCATATGTATGACTAAAATAAACGATAGGGATATATAAATACATATTAAGATAGATAAAAGAATCAAAATAAAATAAAAGAAGCCAGAAATAGTATGCTATCGATAATATAATTTTAAAAAAAGGTTTCTTCGATGTTATCTGGATGACTGTATCTTGAGGAACTGTACGTATAATTATCGGTTCTTTCTAAGTAAATAAAAAGCATCTAGAAAAATTTTAAAACTCTATGAATGTTTCAGTGTATGCATTAGTAAATAACTAAACATGTTTCATTAGAAAATACTTAAAAATAATACACAGATGAAACCGTTTTGATCCCTAGTGACAAATAACAGAGTTAAGCAACAGTTATTTTTACCGGAACTACCGATATTGCTCAATAATTTTGCACTCTAATGGCAATGAACGAATCATTTAGTGGTATTTATATTCCATGTTTTAAACAGTGAAGAAAATATAAAAGATAAATAGGAAAAGGAAAAAGTAACAAATAAAATTCTGAATCGTGAACAACACATTGCATAACATAACACAAAATGCAATTTTCCAGAATATCGTTCTTTGCTATTTGTCTCTCAGAAAATATAAAATAAAAAATATGGAAATGAATGCTTCATTCAGCAGTTTCAAGCGCTATATTTTAATTTTAAATGTCTCTTAAAAAAATTAGATATTTTAAAAATAATTTGATACATCATGCTAAATAATCATAATATCAGACATTATTTCCCTAAGGGAAAATGCAATAAAAATTACCATTCGTAGAAATACAATCTTCGCATTAAAAATTTCAAATATCGTAAAATTCTGCATTTCTAGCGTTCTCTTTTAAAAATAAAATCGTTCGAAATTAGAAGCATTTTATTCCAATGCAATCATAATGATTAATTTTTTTCATTTTTCATGAACTTTTGCTTATATCATGCTTTAAATTATTTCCGGAATCATTACGTAGAAATTAAATTACAGAGCTATAGCTTCATATCGGTAAATGTAATCTTCGTGATACGAAGTAAACAGTGGGCATCTGGTTTACTTCGCACGAACGATATGCTGTTTCAGCATTT